AACAAAAAAAAAAACCATGCATCTTGGAGAGTTATTTTCATGTCACTCTACAGAGGTCTGTCTTCTTTTTATTACTGCGCATCAGTCCACGGTATGGAGATACCAAAATGTGTGTGATCACTTCCTTACTGATGACGGACATTCAGGTGGATTTTCCTTGTCTTCCTGTTTCCTTTCCCTCTGGTTGGCTGTGGTTCTCTCTCACTCTACTACGTACATCCGCCTTTACTCCTCTGTCCTTTCTCTCCTTTCTCTCTACTTATTTTGTCTCCCCTGGAGTTCATAATGGGTGGACAAGGGACATCTCAGATGGATTGTGCTGCAAGCAGAGACTGGGACTTGGGGACAGGCAGGGGCTACTGTGGCAGATTTGCTGTCCCTTCATCCTCACTCCTCCTGACTAGCTGTAAGGAGCAGATGATGTGACCTGCATGGGGACAGACATGAGTGACCCACCCACGCAGAACAGCATAGGCTGAGGGGCAGCCTTCCAAGTCTAACAGGCTGCCCTGGGCTCTCATCCCACCCCCATCACTTACTAGCTGTATTTATTAGTTGTGTCACTTCCTGATCCCCATTTTCCCATCTGTAAAACGAGGATATGGGAGTCTCTTTTTCCTTAGAAGGTTGTTCTGAGAAATAAACAAGAGAATACATATAACGTGCTTAGCACAGTGCCTGGCACATAGTGATCTAAGAACCCTGAACTGTGAGGGAACTCGCCAGGGTGTGGTCATGCATAAATTAGGGTGCCCATCAAACAGGGAGACATGGGCTCTGGCCTCTGCGGGGTTTGAAGAAATCCTCACAAATGAAGGGTATAAGCCAACGGATGAAGGCAGCCTTTTTCCCCCGCCCCCGGAGGAAGGATCCCAGGGAATGGAGAAGCACTGGGTCGGGAATAGGAGGCCTGCTTGGGGGATGGGGAGTAGTGCCCTGTGGCTGGAAGGTCATGTTCATTGGCAAGGGGAGGAAAGGTCCCTTACCGGTGTGTGCAGGCGGGCTTCTGGCAAAGGAGGGGGTTCGGGGCCCTCGCAGGGACTTGAGCCTCAAAGCTAGACTTGCATGTGCATGGCAGGACTACTGTCAGGGTCCGGCGAGGCTCTGGGAAGGGAGCTCCCTTCCCACCACCCTCCTGCCTCCTTCAGCAGGGGCCTCCTCCTGGGGCTCGGCCACTCCCGGCGTCTGTACCCCCACCCCTGAGCCGATTGGGAGGCAGGCAGGAGGCTCCTCGCGGGGGCTGCGCCGGGTGGGCGGCCTTCCCAGAGCAAGGAGTGAAGCGGGACTGACTGGGCGCCAGCTCCCTCGGAGACACTGCTGGCTGGGCGACCCGCCTGCCCGCTGAGCTCGTGCCCACGGGCTCCGTGAGGCCCTGTGCTCCCGTCTAGGCGCTGCAGCACACCGCCCGGGGCTGTGGCATGTCACAGAGGGAGGTCAGAAGGGCCCCCGCCATGCCGGGAGTGGGGCAGAAGCCGGCGAAGGCCAAGCTGCGGCTGGTCGCAGGCCCTGGCAGGAAGCGGAGCCGCCTGAGCAGAACAAGGCAGGACCTGTGGGAAGAGACGAGCTGGAGCGACCGAAGGTGGAGCAGAGCTGGCCCGAGCCCACGGGGGGTCAGGCCCAGCAGCCTGGCTCGTGGCCGGGTAAGGAAATGCTGGACCTGTGGAGGGAGTGGGGGGAGGCAGGGGTTGGAGGGGCTGAGGCATCACCTCTGATGGCAAAGCCTCTCTCAGCATTACTGTCCCTGCCCAAGAGGGGGGCCGCTGGCACCTTCGACTCCAAGGCTCCACGCTTGGGTGGTTGGGGTAATTCAGGGGGTCTCAACCAGAGCGCGGCTCAGAGAGCTGGCCCAACTCACTTCTCTGGGGGAACTGAGGCCTGGAGGAATGGGGTGAATTCCCCACAGCCCCGGAACTGCAGCCGGTGGTGGGGTCAGGACAGCAGCTGTGGGTTCTGGCCCCTGGTTGGGGGTCCTTTCTTCTTCACTGCAGCTGCGTCTTCATCTCAGGACCTGGCCGGGCAAGGGTCAGCCTTACGGAGCGGGGGGGTGGCTCTTAGCTTCCCGCGGCCCCGGGGCACCCTGATAAGCAGGCTTCAGACTTGGGTGTGGATGGAGCAAGGGCTAGAGTATTAGAAAGAGGAAAAGACTCTCGGCTTCTGAGCCCAGCCTTGCCACCCTGCTGCCATCTGACCCCAAGTGACACCTTCTCTGCATTTCCTCAGGCGTAAAGCAGGGCAGGACTGAGAGCGGTCAAACAGGGCATGAGGTCCTCAGGTCTCTGCTGTTCAGCGCACTACTGCTCTGGAAGGAGACCTCGCACAAGAATGCTCTTAGAAACAGGGGCCGATGGGGGTTCAGTCAGACCCACTCACCTGGGGTCCTCTGTGCAGAGTGAGGCCAGTCCCAAGAACGCTGCACGGGAGCGGAGCCGGGTGAGGACACTGCGCCAGGCCTTCCTGGCCCTGCAGGCCGCTCTGCCCGCTGTGCCACCTGACACCAAGCTCTCCAAGTTGGATGTGCTGGTGCTGGCCACCGGCTACATAGCCCACCTCACCCGCACGCTGGGCCACGAGTTGCCCGGCCCCGCCTGGCCTCCCTTCCTGCGTGGACTCTGCTACCTACACCCTCTCAAGGTAGGCCACGAGCCCCGGGCCTTGGGGAACGGGGTTTGGGATGGACTGGACTCAGGCCCCCTGCCCTGAGCAGAGCTGACGTGGGGACCGGGGACTGGCTGCTTCCTGCTCTCTCACAGGGAGAGGAGCCAAGCCCCGCTCTTGGGAATCGGCTGACCCTGGGGGCAGTGAGGGTGGTGACTGGAAATGACTTCATGGAAAATGCGGTTCCTCCAAGAGGAGGGAAATTCGGAGCAGTTTCTGGGGCTGGGACCTGGGAAAGGAAACTGCACCGGGAGAGTCCGAGATTCCAGGGCACATCACCCGATCATCGTAAAATGCCTCCATGTCCTCTGGACTTCTGCCATAGGAGGGATCCCCCTCTGGGAGAACAAGGTCTCAGAAAGCCTCACTGGAGAAGCAATCAAGCTGGGGTGGGGGAGGGACCAGCAGTGGGGGGGCAGTGTGTGTGTGTGTGTTGGGGGGGGTGCTTTCCACCTCCTAGACAGGGACCTGCCTTTCCTGAGCCTCAGCTTTATCACATGTGAAGGGGAAGCTAACACGAGCCTTACTTCCCCTCCATGGTATGAAATGAGATCATGAGTGAAAAGTATAATTAACAATATTCACCATCACAAATAACAACAATAACAGTATTTGGGTGCAAAAGTTATGCCAGGAGCTGGGCTTAGCACTCCAGTTCTTTCCATCTTCTTGTCCACACGAGAACCCAATGAGGATTACTTTACAGATGAGGAAATCGAATCTTGGGGAGATTAAGTGGCTCAATGCAGTTTGAACCCAAGGGTGTCTGACCTCAGAGCCCATGCTCATAGCCATCAAGCAGGCCAAGGGTGCTGTAAGCTGCTGGTTGCAGAGTGAGCTGTTATAAAGGATGGGTCATCTCTGCCCTCTGAGGCTAGACAGCACTAGAAAGGGCTCAGCCTTGTTTTTATGGAGGATACGTTCACCCTCTCTATCCCCTAAACATCACAGTTCTGAAATGTCTTGAAACTTGAGATTTCTTTTCTCTCATGCAAATATAGCTAAAATGTAAGAACTTGAGACTAAATGGGGGCGACTCTGAAATGCTGACAGTGGCAGAGTCGTTTCCTTACCTGTAAAGCGACGACCCAAGTCAGGCCCTTGCATGTAGGAGGTGATGGATAAATATGCTGAAGAAAGAAGAGATGAGAGCCGGTTCTGTCTAGAACTCAGGCAGCGTGGTGGGATGGGATAGTTAGCAGGGAGCAGTGCCCCTTTGGCGCCCCCACCCCATAGAGGGCTGCCAAGAGGAGGGCAGCCCTCAGAGCAGAGTCAACTGGTGTTTTCTGGGGTTGTCCATGCTCCTGCTGGAAGGATGCGCAAGGAGGTCCCCAGCTTAGACGGACGGGCAGCACTAAGTGTGGCCAGGGGTACCTGGGTTGGGGGCTGAGCAAGAGAAGAGGTCACGGCTGTTCAGTATCAGGAGGACCCTCTCCTTGCCCCGGCTCTGCTGCCCTCCCCGCTGCCCAGCCCCTGGCTGCTGCCAGCTCTGCCATGCTCCTCCCTCCCCACCATCGGGGGGCTCCTTTCAGGACCTTCCTCTTCTCAGACAGCTCCTCATGAGCCTCTCTGCCAGGCTCAGGGGGTCAGGAGAAGGCAGGGGGCCGTAAGTGGTGGTGAGCCCGAGACCACTGTGATCAGGGCAGTCATGGTGGGAGAGGGTCTCAGGGAGGGGGGCTAGGGAAGGCCAAGTTTGGGGTGCCAAGGACTACGAGGGGCTGCAATAGTGAGCATTACTCACTTCCCATCCCCGTGTCTTGCAGAAGTGGCCCATGCGATCTCGTCTCTATGCTGGAGGCCTGGGGGGCTCTGGCCTTGAGCCCACCACAGCTACCACCTCAAGCCAAAGAACAACGGAGGCAGAGGCCAGAGCCCAAGTCTCTGAAGAGGCAGACGCTCTCTTTCCCACGAGGCCACGCTCACCAGCTCTCGGTGACAAATGAGCATCACCACTTGCCTCTTTCTCCTAGACTACGACTCGAGCTTAGGAACCTAGATTCTCTACCAGCCCTGCCTGTCTTCCCTCTGACTCTCAGCCCTCAGATTGCACAGACTCAGGTTCAGCTCCCAGGTTCCAGCACGCAGACCAGGCGAAGCAGTGGGCCCTTCGGCAATGGGAGGGTACTCAGGAGCACTGGGGGAGGCAGGTGTTGTGGTAGCTGCAAGGGAAGTGGGAGAGGACAGGGTTTGGTTGGGTTGGACGTTGAGTTAGGGCACCGCCCCTGCTTTCTCCCCTAAGCTTCCCACAAACCCTCCGGACATGCAGGTGCAGAGGTGGAGGCCTAGGAGGGCAGCAGCTGCAGGTGCTGATGGGAAAGCCAAGGGCTGGACAGGCTCTGGGCAGCTGTGAGTGTGAACAGAACTGGGCCAGGGTCACGTAGGCAGATGGAAACTGAAGAAGGGAGCCTGCTTGTTATTGCTCCACAAGACATTACCTGATGTCCAAGAGGCAGGGGGGAATTTAGGAGTCTTGTCTGCACTGTGGTCTCTCCAGCTGCCCCTCATCACTACACTTCCTCCCTCTCTGGGCCCTGCGCCCTTCCACTCTTTTCTTGATAATGACTTAGATTTATGGGTTAAGCCAGAAAGCTTGCATTGCTTGCATTCCAGTTTCCAGAGAAACTTTTCGATGGTCCCAGCTGCCTAGTTTGACATGATCTTATCCCAGAGGCAGGCCTACTGGAACTGAAGCAGACAGCACCTGAAGGCCTTGAATCTGAAGGATATTGATGGGCCTGATTACCTCCTTGAAGGACCTTTGAAGGGGAACACTTACCTTTTCCAGGGGATGATAATTAGTCTTCTCTTTCCATTATGTTAGAAACCTAACCTCCAGGAAAAACAAGATAGGCCTGTGTTCACTGGGTTCCTTATATGATTTTGGCCCAAGGCCTCACTGGCTCTGGAGTTACTTCTACAATCTGTCTACAAATGAGCTCTCCAGGGGCAGCTTCTCCCCACAGGCACTGCCCTCCCAGGCACTCCTTAAGTCTTGCCACGGGGTGCCGGAGATCTCTGAGAGCTTTAGTGGAATTTCTCTCTGGCTCTGAAGAAATCATTTGAGGACCAATCCTAGAGTCTACACATACTAAAAGTAACTTTTCAGATCAGGGACAGCTTCAAACCCAAAGGCACCTGAAGTCCAGACAGAGAAGGAACCAGCTTTTTGTTAAAGATCAGGACCTCAGAGCGGGAGGGGATGGACCAGGCTGACTCGAGTCCCAACACGGGTAGCCTTAGAGCCACCATTGCCATTGTGAGACTAAATGAGGCTCTGGCATGACGAGCCACTGCTCCTCCACAGGGCTGGACAGGGCAGCAGGGGAAAGGGGCTGAGGGGTGACTCAGCAAGTTGGGGTGGAGGCAGAAAAAGACACAGAACGTCCCAGCCGCGGGCTGCCTGGGATGTGGGAGAGCAGCTGAACAGTGGCTGGGAGCCATGGGGAGAAGGTCTCAGCCAAGGCCGAACTCATAAATCTACCAAGTCTCCACTGAGGGACCCACTGAGAACGGCTCCTGAGCAGCTGGATGAGGCCAGGCAGGGGCAGAGACCAGGTGTGGGTGGGCATGAGCACAGTGTTCCTCACAAGACCATAAAAGTCCAGCTTGAATGTTCTATTTTTAAAGCCAAATAGCAATAACTTCCTGGTTGAGTTTGAAAGTGGTAGGCAGAGGAACAGATGAATCTCTTCCCAAGCTGGTGGCACACAATCTTTTTCTGGGGAATGAAACTGGGCAAGCTGGTTTGGGGCATACACTGGGGGGTCCCCTTCTGATAGCTAAGGAGACTAGTTTGGGGCCTGCCCCACCCGACCCTGCTCAGACTCCAGCTTTTGCCCAGTAGTATCAGGCCCCCCTGGGGTGACTGCATTACCCTGGTAGAGAAGACAAGGACAGCAAAGGAAGATGAAGCTGGTGGACCGTTGAGGAAGGGGAAGTGCATTCAATACAAGTTTCTTAGGCTGCCCCAGGCTCCTGTTTTCCTTCGTGCCCAGGCCAGTCTGGGGTCCAGAGGCCATGTCCTCCAGCTGGAAAGCAGCCAGCACAGGTCAGGTTGCCAAGGGGCTGCGGAGGAGGCAGAGTCAAGGGAAGGACCAGAGGACGAATGGGAATGACCGGAGGAAATGTCAGGTCAGAGACTTGGATCCACAAAGGAACCAGAACCAGGAGTTCTTTGCCTCTGCAGCAGAGGAATAAAAACACCGGCTCACTGAAGACTTTTTATTCCCACCAGGTCTAGGGGCATGGGATAGGCAAGAGTGGTAAAAGGCAGGTTAAGACTCAAGTCCAAAGACAGCTTTGGTCCCCCTGGGAACAGGGGTGTGTGGGCAAGAGGCTCCAAAAGGAAACAGAAGTACAGATGACAAAATGCCACTAAGGTGGCCTAACTCAGGAGTCAGGGGGATGGCTGGCCCACTTGGCTAGCTTGTACTGCCTGCCCGGGTGCCCATGACCCGAGGTGGCAGGACAGGCAGAGATGGCCAGCACAGCTTCCCCAGAGTTGGATGTGCATCTGCTTCCCGATGAGCAGCAGAGTTGCAGGGCAGAAGCTTGGGCCATGGGAGAAGCAGAGCTGGCCGAGGGATGTCTAAGTAGAAGGTGGAGACTGTGGATTTTACCAGTTGGGAACTAGGGTAATTAAAATACAAGATCTAGTCTTCTCTGAGAAATTCCTTTTCTCTTCCTCTGGAAGGGGCCTGGCTAGGACGAATCAGATGGCACTGTCCTCCCCCTTTTGTGGCACAAGCCCCAAACCCAGGGCCCCAGCAAGCTTGGTGCTGTAGACCAGGAGCTGGCTCACTGGCCAAATCCAGCCCACCTCCTCCCACCCCCTGCAGGTTTTTGTAAATAAGTTTTTGTGGGTTATGGTCATACCCATTTGTTTACATGTTACCTATAGCTGCTTTCCTGATACCACAGCAGAGTTGAATAGCTACGACAGATTAAGCCTAAAATATTTACAATATGGCCCTCCAAGAAAAGATATACCGCCCTTCACTCTAGATCACAGGTATTCAAAGTGTGGTCTGGGGACTCTGGGGGCGTCCCTGAGGCCCCTTCTACGTGGCCCAAACTATTTTCATAATACAAGATGCTATTTGCCTTTTCTCACACTTCTCTCACGCATCATGGAATTTTCCAGAAACCACACAATATGTGATATCGCAACAGATGGGATGTAGAAGCAGATAGGAGAATCCAGCTATCTATTGCAACAGACATTAAAGGCATTTGCAAAAATGTAAAACAATGCCACTCTTCCCACTAAATATTTTCCAACATGGAAAATAATTATTTTTCATAAAAATGTTATATATAGTCACATATAGTGGGCTCATTAATGTAATTTTTTGAAGATTTTTTTTCTTTATTTATTTGAGAGAGAGAGAGCACGCACACACATGGGGTGGCAGAGGGGGAGGGAGAAAGAAAGAAGAAGACTCCCGCTGAGCGCAGAGTCCAACTACACACAGATCCCCCACAACCCTGAGATCACGACCCGAGCTGAAACCAAGAGTCAGTCGCTCAACTGACTGAGACACCCAGGTGCCCCTAATTAATGTAATTTTTAAATAACAGCAAGATGTCAGCTGTCGAGAAGCAAGCAAAGGGCAAGGGCCCACCTCAGCCACCTAGGGCACGAGCTGCAGCATTATGTGTCAGCTACAGAAGACAGCTGAAGAAGCTGATCGTGCACTGAATAAACCGGGAAGTAACGCAGGGGCAAAGACGACTGAGGTTTTTTTTAACCAGAAAAAACTTACAAAAAATTATGGTCCAGAAATCAGAACAAGCACAGTCCTCCACATTGAGGATGCTGGAAGGAGAAAAACAAGCTCAGTAAATCAGGCCTAAATCACATCAGTTACCTCCGGCTTCAGTGGGCTGGAACCTCTGGGTTGGGGCCAAGTTGGATGAAAATAGATTCCATGTCCCACATCCCAGAAACCACAGCTAACTGCAGGCTGGGCGGCAGAGCCCCTAGAGCTCCTGGTGCACATACAGGTACACTCTCTATAAAGGTGCGAATTTTAAAGAGCGCATGGGGAGGGAGCCCATGTCCGGTGAACAGAAGACCATCAAGGTACCAAGGTCTGATGCGCTCTGAGAAGAAGTGCAGAAGCACAAACCAGAAGTTGAAGCAAAGCTCAGCTGTCACCGCTGAAGTGTGGCCATGTGCCAAGCCTGCTGGGGAGGGCTCCATCTCATCGCCAGTAGCCATGGGCCCGGGTGCTGGGAGGGCCGCCAGATGGGGGATGTGCCAATCAGCAAAACTCCTCCTGCACAGGCCAGGCTGGGTGAACGTGCCTCCCTAACGCAGTTACACTACCCCACCAACTGGCCAAGGAATTGAGACTCTCTTTCACAAGGCTCATCTATCTTGGCAACAACGCACCACCACCATTATTTCCCTGGACAGAAAGGCAGGCCAGGACAGACCTTTTTCTTTCTTGCTTTTGGCAGCTTTGTCATAAAAATATGCCATTGAGGGCGCCTGGGTGGCTCAGTCGGTTAAGGTTAAGCGTCTGCCTTTGGCTCAGGTCATGATCCCGGAGTCCAGGGATCGGAGCCCCTGCATCATCGGGCTCCCTGCTCAG